CAAACAGAAAACCCGATGAATTTTCCTGAACTACTAAGCATATACATTTAAATCACACAGCTCAGTCCGAGAAGGAATGGGCAGGACCAATACACTCCCATGAGAGTAAAATGGGAAAATGCCTCCTTTTCACCTTAGGAACAGGTGCACAGTGTTTAATGCTTCTCAGCAAAGTGAGGAGAACAGAGGTCTCCTGGCAAAGAGCGAGGGCAAACCAGAGGACAGGATGCCCTCTCTCTTTTGTTCCTTTGACATAGCTGAGAGAGAAAAGACAAGACCTTCCATCGCTGTAGCAACAGCTGGGGGATGGAAGAAGCTGGGTAAACACACATGGGAAGGAGGCTTCGGACTGAGCCCATGAGTGGCTGGAGGTGACTCTGCCCAGACAGGGAACTGTGGCAGAAAAGCAGGTTTGGGGGCTAAAACGATGAGTTCAGTTTCACGGTGATAAGCAGAATAGCTGTTCTTACTTGAATCTTCATGTTAAGTTATATAAGTAATTCAAGATCACATCCATCTCTCATAATGACTACTGTTATTTATGACACATTTCCTTTTAGTCTTTTTCTCAGAGTTAGAGCATACTAGAGACATGATGTTGTAATAGCTTTTCCCATTGAACATAACATAACAAGCACTCAACCATATTATTAACTTGTCAGGATAAATGTTTGGTGGCTGCAATATAGCCCATCCTGTGGATGCACTCTAACTCATCCAGCTCTCTAATGTTGGATGTGTAGTTTATTTAAAACGTATTATTATAATGTTACTAGACGCCCGGTGCACGAATTCGTGCATGGGTGGGATCTGGCCGGCCACCCTGATCTGGGCCAATTGGGCCAGGCCGGCCAGGGGAAGGGGCTCTGGGTGGTTGGCCAGCTGGCCCCGCCCCCTGGTCAAACTCCCAGTCAAGGGGAAATTTGCATATTAGCCTTTTATTATATAGGATGGCATGTGTCAGAGCTCAAACTTTGCTCCTACCTCAGACGACTTCCTTGGGATAGATTCTCAGAATTGACACTACTCTGTCAAAACATATAAACATTAAAAAGCTCTATCCAGTGTCCCCTGCACCCCTGAAGTAGCCTGACACAGCACTGTCTATCTACTTTCTTGCAGCTCAGGCCCATGGTTTAGATTGAGAACTACAGGATTTCAGGTGTTAGACCACACTTCCTTGGCTGCAAGATGCCCACCCTCTTCCTGTCTCCACGCTCTGGAAGACCTCTCACGAGAGCCTTAAGACTTCATCTACTCAGTGGTCACTGAGGGTATAACTATCCTGCCTTGGCCGAGTCTGCAGCCATATCCCTGCTGTCAATATTGTTCCCTAATGGAAGCCTAGAGATATGTCCCCCTGCCTAAGGTAGGACTCCTCCATTCCATCTACCAGAAATGAGTTGGGAACCTAAGCCCAAGTAGCAAGACAGATGTTAAGGAGGCCTTTTCCTCCTAAAAGTGACTGGCTGTATTCAGGATTGGGGGGGCCTGGTGAGTGGCCCCTTACCCAGGAAATGGTGGGGGGTGCCAAGGGAGCAGTTTAAGATCCAAGCTTAGAAAGGAATGGGGCTCAAATAATAGGTTATTCTGTTCCACCCTAATAAGAGATGCCTCAGTTTGGAGCACCTGAGCTGGGAGGCTTTACAGTTCTCTGAATCTCTGACAGAACGTGCTGGTGAAAAAGGCAACAAAGTGCTCACACCCACAGCAGGCCCAGGGGCTAGGGGCCTTGGAAGAAGCGAACTAGGATTAAGTCTGGACTTTGTAAGTCAGGCCATTTATGATTATTTTATTTTTGTTTCTCTTCTGTCACTACTTATGGTTTACTCAAGTGTTGGTGAAATTTTCAGTCTGTCTTACTCGTGTGAAAGGGAAATCGCAGAAGGGTCACCAGTCAGAGCTCTCAGGAGAGCAGGGCAGCCCAGGGAGCCAGAGGGGGAGAGCAGAGCGAGAGCTGTGGGCGGCCGCCCTCCCTGCTGAGCATGCTCTTGCCAGTGCAAAACACCTTCCTGCTTCGACATGAAGTAATTCCTCAAACAGGGAGCAGGAAATGACTTTTTCTTTTCTTCTTGGCAGGTTCTTTAAAGTAAATTGGCCAGAAAAGATGCCAGGTGTTTTTTTGTTTTGTTTGTTAAAGGTAAGGGAAAAAGCTAGAAGAATTTTGATGAAAAGGAACATGGAGCCCAGAAAGCTACTGAGAACTGCCTCAGAGAGACCCCTATACAAGGGTTAAAGGGGAAAGGAGAAAAGACACAATTATGAAACGTTATTCAGGAAAGAAAGAAATAAATTACTGAAGTCTTGACCCTAGAAACCGAGGGTCAATGCACTTCTAAGCATGAGTAAAGTGAAACGCCTAAAGGGAAGGCCTATTTTCTAGTTATTTGCAACTGATGTCAGAACAAGAAACAAATTTCTGTCTTCAAAGGGACAGAGGGTCCTTGTTTAGAGCTGGGTTGGCCTCTGATATAGAGGAGGCCCTCTGGGCCATACATCACAGAGACCGCGGACACCGGACTTCACAGAAGGAAGGCGTCCACTGCAGGCTCTTCAGAACAGTAAGCCCTGGCAGCAACCTCGGTGCCCACGACTGGAGCTTATCCAATATAAACCGCGGTGACCCATAAAACAGGATTCCATATCATGCTGCACAGACATCACGCCAGGAGCAGTAACTGACATGGAAAATACTTGCTGCTTTTGAAAGCAGGGCATGAAACAGTGAGTGTAAAATGACCTCATTTTCATAAACATATTTGTTGATAGAAAACACCTGGAAGATATCCACTAAAATGTTAACAGTAATTATCTCCGCACCGTGGAGGTATGGGTGCGTTTCGCCTCTGTAATTTGCCGCATGTTCCACGTGTTCCCACAGTGAGAATGTGTGCTTTTATGACTGGGAAAAAAACGAAGTGTTAGAAAAGCAGGGTTGAAAATAATCCTAGAGAAGTGGTTTCAGTGAGACCTGACACACAAATCATGCATGTAATGGGGACCTGGTTTGAAGGGATGTGAGTGATATAGTCAATAAGCAACAAGCATGGGCAACAAACTTAACCCCGACAGGGTCCTTACCCGACCCCGTCCGCCCCACAATGCCAATCTTCTCCTTGGGTTTGATGGTGAAGGACACTTTCTTCAGGACCAGAGGCAGGTTTTCTTGGTACCTCATCTCCGCGTTCTCAAAGGTCACCTCTCCTTCCTGGGGCCAGTCAGGGGGGGGAGCCTTGTTCTTAATTCTGGCAGGTGCTTCCAAAGAGAGAGTCTGGGGAGACAGAGGTGGCCAGGTCAGACGGGCCCAGATTCCGGGCGCTTTGTCACAGAGAAGTTAAACCAAGACAACCATAGCCCCCACACAGGAGCAGTGGGAGCCCTGGCCCCTTGCTGTGAAAGATCCCTTGGCAGTAAATGCTTAGATAGGGACAGAGCGCCAGGGCTACTCATTCTGCAGTGGCTACTACTACGCAGCAGCTGAGCAGGGCACTGACTTTCAAACTGCCTCCTGTTTTAAGGAATTCTTCCATAAAACTGCCTTGGAGGCCAAGGGTGGGGCCATGAGCCCTTCTGTTCCTCTTCAACCCTGCAGTTTTTATTGGAATTGTTTGAAAATATTACACTCAAAACAGGACTCTGCCATTTGGAAACCACTGGCTTAAACCCAAAGAAAGGTAACATTTATTGAACATGTAATCAGCCCTGGCTGGTGCTGCTCAGTGGTTGGAGCGTTGGCCCATGCACCAAAGGGTCTCAGGTTTGATTCCCGGTCAAGGGCATGTACCTGGATTGCAAGTTTGATCCCCGACCCTGGTCAGGGTGTGTGCAGGAGGCAACCAATAGGTGTGTCTCTTACATCGATGTTTCTCTCTCATTCTCTCTCCTTCCCTTCCACTACCTATACATACAAAAGACTAAGTGACCGACTATAAGTCTGCCCAACCATCCGGTACATATGACATATACAGCTCTCGCTGGCGCCAATCACTTGCGTGAGCTTTGATCTGTCATCGATCATGAATTTGATTGTTTTTGTTGACATTCTGAAGCTGAAAGAAAGTGGTGTCGTCAACAGAATATGTCTGAAGACCAACTATTGGCACAACGTACCTCTGACACTTCTATTACAGAGAAAGGGCGATATTAAAATATTTATTTTAATTAATTTCCTTTCAATGTGCACAAATTCGTGCACTGGGCCACTAGTCTCCAAAATAAATGGAAAAAGTAACCATGGGTGAGAATTAATAAAAAATAATAATAATACTGAACATGTAATCAGATCCTGGCATTCTGACATATCTCAGTCAATCCAGGAGAAATAGACTCCAATCCCAATCCCGCCACGAACAGCTGTGTGACTGGACACATCACATCTTCACTCTGGGTCTTAGTTTCTCATTTGCAAATTGTGGAGACTGGATTAGATAATCTTGGAAATCCATTCCAGCTTTAAAATTCTGTGTTTAATATAACGGCTTGTAATTTCTGTTATCAATAGTCAAACCTTGCAATGTTTTAAAACTTTCTAGCCACTAGTCATGGGGCTTACAGCCTTACAGGGAAGTAAGGGCCAAAGACTACTGCTCTGGGGGTGAAGACTGAAGTTGAATGCTCCAAGCTGGAAGGGTCCGTGTTGGGACAGGCATCCAGGTTGAGGACTGGTCTGTGCAGGATTTACGCCGTACCACTGCCAGTCCCCAACCTGGGGCTGACTACCCACCCCCAGCTCTCCAGCCAGAGGCTCTCACCAACAGCGAGTAAAGCAAACACTACATATTCGTATATACAACCATGTATCACCCACAGACCAGAGCACTGGGCAAAGAGGCCAGTGCGTAAACCTAAGGAACAGCCATTAGCAGACACACGGGACTGCTTTGTGCCATTCTTTCCCGGAACCGTCATCCGTAAGTCTGAGAAATATCCTATGACTCATGAGGTCCATTGTCAAAACAAGCCAGTAAAGCATGTCTCTGCAAGGAAATGCAGTTTACATAACACACCAGTTCGCAACTGAATGGCAAGTTTTTCAGCACTATGCTTGTTTTATTTATTTACTCAACACTATGCTTGTAAGTCATTATTTGGAACTTGGAATGTATTCTTCCCATGTAAACAATGATATAAATGCTGACAAAGCCCTGGCCTGTTTGGCTCGGTGCATAGAGCACCAGCCTGTGGACTGAAGGTTCCTGGGTTCGATTCCAGTCAAGTGCACAGGCCTGGGTTGCAGGCTCGATCCCCAGTAGGGGGCGTGCAAGAGGCAGCCGATCAGTGATTCTCTCTCATCACTGATGTTTCTATCTCTCTCTCCCTCTCCCTTCCTCTCTGAAATCAATAAAAATATATTTAAAATAAAAATAAGTGCTGACAAAGTCTCTGGCAGTTCACAAGATCAGAGCTCTCGAGAACTGAGTTAAATTTGAGAATCCTAACCACTCATGGCTCTGCTTCTCTCTACAGAAAATTGCTTTCAGAGCTCCAACTAGGCGCTGCCCCATGGCAAGACTGCAGGGTTCCTAAGGGAATGTGGGAAGAGCTAGGTAGTCTCAGTATTGACTACATTAACTGGGTTTTAAACAATGACTGCAATTTGTTTTTTAATATATTTTTATTGATTTCAAAGAGGAAGGGAGAGATAGAAACATCAATGATGAGAAAGAATCATTGATAGGCTGCCTCCTACACGCCCCCTACTAGGGATCAAGCCCATAACCCCACGATGTGCCCTTGATCAGAACTGAATCCGGGACCCTTCAGTCTGCAGGCTGACGCTCTATCCACTGAGCCAAACCAGCTAGGGCGATGACTGCAATTTAGAATTAGTTACGGAGCTTTTAAAACTGCAGAAGCCAGGGACCCACCCAAAACCTACTGCACCAAGATCATCTCCAGAGAGCAGCCCACGTTTGTCTTTGCCTAAAGCACCACAGGGGTCCTGATGGCCCTCCCGGTGAAGAACAAGTGAGCCAGACGAAGATTGTTTGCCTGGCTTGTGTGGTTCAGTGGTTGAGCGTTGATCTATGAAACAGGAGGTCACGGTTTGATTCCTGGTCAGGGCACAGGCCCGGGTTGTGGGTTCCATCCCCAGTAGGGGGCGTGCAGGAGGCAGCCAATCAATTATTCGTTCTCATTGTTAATATTTCTCTCTTTCCTTTCCTCTCTCTGAAATCAATAAAAATATTTTTTTTAAAAAGAAAGAAAACAATACATAGTTTTATATGGTGCAAGAAAAATGCTACATTAGCCAGCCTAACTGAACTAACGAAGTTTGAAACATTTTGGAAATGAGCTGATGAACGTAAATTCTCAATCAGATGATTCACACATAGATTTAGAAGCTCTTATGCTAATTCCTTCCCCACTCCACGCCTGCTGGAGAGACCGGCGGTCCTCTCCTGAGGGCCGAGAAGACGTGCCGCCTCCTTGCACATCCACCGCGGCAGGAAAAGGGTAAGGGGAAACGCCTCTAGGGAGCGTGAGGGCGCAGTCTGACCTTGATGTAGTGGTGGATCCTCTCCACGGAGGTGAAGCGAGCTTCGGTCTCGGTGGCCAGCCTGACGGTGAACTGGAACAGCCCCGTTAACTGATGGTGAGAAGCAGAAATGCAAGAGAGTTCATTATCGATGTCTACGCTGAAAGCCTCCTTCACCGAGGGGACCACAGCTCAATCATAAGAACTGGGCACATACAGCAGCTGGTTTTAGGAACGGAGTCATTCTCTACACATTTAAGACAATGCCCATTACACCCCATCCCCAGTCATCTGTAATTTTCTGTGAGCGCAGGTGGCATCGTGGTACTGCTGGCACTAACTTTCCTGCATCCAACGGCTTGCCACCCATCTTTGCATGTCCAGTAACGCATATCCGAAGCTGCATCCTTATACCTGCACCTGCTGTGGCAGTCACAGCGAATGGAGGTACATATCAACCTGTGCGCAGCCAGTGGGCAGCTTCCAGGAAAGTCAATGAAGGGGAAGAAGCTGAGCAGAAAGTGCTGGCAGAGCCCCTGTGCACTTCAGACGGAGGATTCTACTACTGCCCATCCAATGACCAGGGGAGTCCGCAGAGCGTGGACAGCGGTGGGGGATCTGCACAGATACATGTCCATATCTCTCCTCAGGATTCTTTGGCTACTTTTTAATTTATCTTTCCAATATGGAAAAATGTCAAACACGTACAAGAGGAGAGGGGTCATTATAATAAACTCCCATGTACCAAACATCTGTCTTAAAATACTGTCAACGCACAGATAATATTGTTTCCTTTATATCACCTCATCCTTCTATATTATTTGGAAGCAAATCCAAGCTATTCTATTATTTCATCCATAAATATTCCAGCTTGTATCTCTCTAAAATATAAAATCTTTAAAAGCACAATACCATTATTCAATACCATGATGACATCTAAAAAATTAATAATAATTCCTTAACATCTTTAAAAACCTAGTCAGAGCTCAAGTTCTCAACTGTTTTTTGAGCTAAAAACCATAAACAATTCCTAGAGACCAGAAAGCTTTCCACATGTAACAGTGTTGGGGGAAAAAAGCAGGAGCCTGGGGAAAAAATGCACATAAGAAGCAAATAGAGTATTTCTTTGAAGACTGTGAAAAGGCCAGAGATGATAGGATAGTGAATTCAGAAACCTACCATTAAAAAACTATTTTCAAAAGCACCTTTATGAAGAAAATAGCACCTATTTCTTAAACATATGCAACAGCCTTAAATCCCTTTATTCCTACACTAGTGGCCTGGTGCACAAAATTCATGCACAGGGGTGAGGGGGTGGGAGTGTGTGGGTGTCCCTCAGCCCAGCCTGCACCCTCTCACAATATGGGACCCTTCCAGGGATGTCTGACAGTCAGAACAACCGGGACCCAGGATTCCCTCCTCCAGCTGGCTGCAGGCACCCGGGACCCGGTCTTCCCTCCCTCTAGCCAGCCACAGGCACCAGGACCCAGGCTGGCTTTGCCCAGGCTAGCTGCGGCTGCAGGGGACGGTGGGCAGGTGGCTTCACCCAGGCCACAGGCACTGCTGCCCAGGACCACGGGGCAGGCGGCTTCTCTGTCTCCCGGGCCACAGCCAGCCGCAGGTGCTGGTGCCCAGGACCGCCAGCAGGCAGCTTCGCCTGGGTCTGGCCTTGTCAGGATGTGCAGATGGTCGTCCGGAAGATGTCTGGTCTAATTAGCATATTACCCTTTTATTAGTATAGATACCACCTCTCCCGCCCCAGATGGTTACTGTAAAGCAGTCTGCAAGGCACTCTGGGAGTCAGAGGTGAAACAGTGACTTCGGGTAGAGGCCCCTACATGCTTCTCCTCGGCCAATATAGGAAGGGCTCAAAGGAGCAAAGGTGATGCCCCATCCCAGAGACTGACCTGGACAGCGTAAGAGATGGCGAGACCAGCGTAGGCAGGGGAAATATGTCCGTGCATGAGAACGACCATCAGCCCAGTGGTGGTGATCAGGGCGATGCTGATCAGGTCGAGCCGCACAGCCAGCCACCTCATTGCGCATGTGAATAGGAAGAAAGGACTTTGGTTGTGGTCCAGCAGCTCCTGGTACCTGTGAGGAAGGCAGAACAGCTAATAGGCAAATAAGGTACCAGGTGACCCAGGTCATGGATGATGTCAAAGCTCTGGTGAATTATGGATGGGGGCTAATGCTTCAGTATTTTCTGTTTGTAATGAAGAGAATGATATAGAAAGTTAAAGAGTACGGAGTACCCCAGGCTCCACAGATAGGAGGACATGGGGTTTTCTAGTTTTACCCTTTCGAAGAAACATACTGAAGATGTTAGGGGAAAATATCTACTTTAACAGCATAGGGGAAGCAGGGGGAAGGAGGCCAAATAAAGAGGCTGTGCTAAACGTGAGAAAAAATTTCGTCGGTTAGGGGTCATTTTCTCAAAGAAAGAAAGGTTACAAGGCAAACTGCAGAAATGGCCCAAAGCCTGGAAAGGGAAAGCCTCAGACCGAACACAGTGAAGTGGAACTTGCTGCTGACACGCCATCGTTGGGCAGAACGGTAGTGTTTCCCACGGCCAGGGAACAAAGAGCCAGGAGCTGAACCACAGCAAAGAAACACACAGACAACCTTTGCCAATGGAGGAGGGGAGACACCGCTGTTACGCGGGGTCCCAGAGAGCAGGGGGAACCCCATCTGGAGTCCCAACCAGGATTCCAGAGCAGGGAGTCTTTCTAGCAAATGTGCTTTGCTTTAAAAAAATCACATTTCTTCCTCACAATAAGATATGTGCTCTTTAGAGAAAATTAGAAAACGCAATAAAGGGAAAAATGCAAAAGTCCATAATCTTACCAGTTAAAACCAGAGTTAATATCTGGCTGCATTTCCTTCTGGCATTTTTTCAATGCACTTACATGTACATGTATATATACACACACAGGCATAAACACACTTGTACATAGTATATTTTCTTCTTTTTCACTGAAAGTTAAGGTTATTTTTCTACATTGATTACCCTAATCTTTTTACTCTAGATTTAAAAAAAAAAATCAATTGCTTAATTGTTGAAATAGACAATATATGCATAGGACAGACTATTTAAAGGGTACACAAGTGTTACCATGAAAAGTCAGTTTTCTCCTGTCCATTCTCCAGCTACTCCATTCTCCTCTTCAGTGGCTATTAGTTTCTTGTGTATCCTTTCAGAGATATTCTAAATGTTATATATACAAACACACTTAAAAGGGAGAATGGCATACACACATCGGTACCTAGCTCTTTCACTAATATATCTTAGAAATCATTCTAATTCAGTACCTTTAGAGCTGCTTCATGTTTTTTTGTTGTTGTTCATTTGTTTTTGGTTTTGTTTTATTAATTTTAGAGAGAGAGAGAAAGGAAGGGAAGGAGAGAGAGACATCATTTTGTTGTTCCACTTACTTACGGATTCATTGGTTGCGTCTTGTATATGCCCTGACCGGGGTTCGAACCCACAACCTTGGCATTTTGGGATGATGCTCTAACTAACTGAGCTATGCGGCAGGGCTTGTCTCATTTTTTGAAGGGCCACACAATATTCCACTCTACGAGGATACTGTAGCTCCTTTAACCAGTCCTTTGTTGAATGACTTTGTTAGTTCAGTGGTTCCCAGCCTTTTTTGGCCATGCCCCACCTAAGCTTCTCTAAAATCCTGATGCTCCCCATATAATTCTTATTCAAAAAGTGAACTCTTATTCATGAGGAGGAAGCCTAAAAGGCCATTAACTTGGCTGAAACAAGTTTCCAAAGAACATGGTATCCATGAAAGAGAAAAATAAAGGAACGAAAGGACAGGTGAAATACTGAGGGAGAAATCACTAAGAAATTGTTAAAAAAATAACAGTATGAAGTGATATGAAAAAATAGCAAATAAAGTTTCAAAACATATAATAGATGACTGAAATGCATTAATATGTCAATATATATTTATAGTCTGTATATGAGGCCCCTAGGATCATAAGGAATGCAAAAAATTCACTGTTAATAACTCATTCTCGAAATCCCCCCTTAATAATCAAATTGCCCCCTGTGGGGCGTGTGCTCCATGTTGGAAATCACTGAGTTAGTTCTAATCTCTTGTTAATACAAATCTCCACAATGATTAGGTACATAAAAATCTCATATAAACAATATTCAACCAAATAAAATGTCAGTCTAGTATCAATGACTATCTTTTACAGTGCCAAAAAAAACGACAAAACTCCACCCAATATGGTCATTCAGGACCAAAAGCTAACCGACTCCAAATCTGTGTTTTTGTCTTCTCGTTTGCTCAGAAGGGAGTTCCACCAAGCAAGTGAACTTTAATCAGAGACAATTAAATCACTGGTGATGAGCGTTATAATCCCCTCTTCTTGACTCTGATTAAATTCAGGGATGCTGGCTGTGCTTTGAGCCCTTTGGCCACCCTCGGCGCTTACCTGTGCAGAAACTCCTGCCCCTTGTTGTAGGCATGGATGGTGGCAAGGCCCTGTATGCTGGATGTGATGTGGGAGAGGAAAGGTGACTGCGTGATATTGTCCAGACGCTTCAGCTCGCGAATCAGGACCCTGGAGAGAGAAGGAGTTCTGGGTCAGAGGGTGGACAGCAACTCCGGCTCCACCCTCTGCCCTGGAAGACACGAACCCTTCTGCTTTACCTGGACACAATGTGCAGAACCGCAAAGAGAATGACAAGGGGCGCCACTGCCACCAGGAACCATGGGAAAACCCCTGCGATCATCCCAACACAGAAGAACACCAGGATGACATTTTGGATGAACATCTCGGCCTGGAAGGGCAGGCGCACATCGACTGGGGAAACCGTAAAGAAACAAGTGTCAGGCTGTGGGGATCCACAAACAGGAAACACGGAACCCAAACTTAAAAGAACAAAGAGACATTTTTATTGATTTCAGAGAGGGAGGAACAGGTAAAGAGAGAGAGAAACGTTAACAATGACTTGTTGATCGGCTGCCTCCTGCACACCCCATACTGAGGATCGAGCCTACAACCTGGCCATGTGCCCTGACTGGGAATCCAACAGTGACCTCCTGATTCATAGCTTGACGCTCAACCACTGAGTCACGCCGACCGGGCATATGACCTCTTTTTATTTTTATTTATTTATTTTTAATATATACCCGACTGGAATCAAACCCGGGACCCTTCAGTCTGCAGGCCGACGCTCTATCCACTGAGCCAAACCGGCTAGGGCGATATGCCCTCTTTTTAGTTCACTATGTTGCTCAACCCCTTTAAACACTTCCTCCTTTTACAAAGTAATATATGCTTGTTATAAAATATTTTGAAAATATGCAAAGAAAGATTACACATAATCTTCATTCTCACCAAAAACAATGAATTTGCTGTTAACAGTTAACAAAATAGATCCAGAGGCATAGAGGCATGGAACATACTGGCAAATCTCAGAGGGAAGGTGGGGTTGGGTGGGGAGAGATGAACCGGGGAACTTATACGCATAGCCCATAGATGCAGACAATAGTGTGGTGAAGGCTTGGGATGGGTGAGTGGGGGGTGAGGGGGTCAATGGGGGGAAAAGGGGTAGGGCGAAGCTCAAACAGTGAGCCATGCAGGCCAGGAATTCCCCCCAAATCTTATCTAATATCTGTGTGTTGCTTTTTAAACAGTCTGATAAAAAATAAATAAAAATCTAGAGATCTAATTGCTCTAATTTTTCTTGTCCTAAGAAAATGTAAGTATTGTTTCCTCCCTGTGCCCTCATTTAAAAAAAAAATTTTTTTTTATTGATTTCAGTTTAAAAAAAAGAAAGTTTTCATGATGAAAAGTCAAACATGCCCGAAAGTCAAGAGTATAGAAACTCGAAAAGTTATCAACATTTTCTTCATCTCCTTTTTGACTATCTCCTTCCCCTACCTTTTTTTGGAGGGGAGAGGGATTGGAGTATTTTCATAGACTCTCAGATATATTGATACTACTGACTTTTTAAATTTCAGTCTTTTCTCCGTGTGTGTGTGTGTGTGTGTGTGTGTGCGCGCGCGCGTGTGTTTAACAGAAATGGGATCGTGTTACGCATCAGTTCTGTGTATCAGTGATGGTCTTGAGCTCTTGCTACCTGTGGCCATGGCTTTACACTGCTTATCAGCACCTGTAATAAACTCCTCGATGGAAGCAACACAGTGCAGCAAAAACATTAGCTCTGGGTTAAAAAGATCTGGGCTCAATTCCCACTTTGCTCTCTAATAGCTGTGCAATCTTGGGCAAGTTATTTAACCTTTCTAGGCATCAGCTTTCTCATGTATTCAATGGGTGAAACAATACCCACCTTGTAGGGCTGCCATGAGGATCAGGACAGGGCGTGTAGAACATTCAGCACCCAGGAAGCCCTCAATAAATGGCAGGTGGCATTACTAGTAGTCTGGGCTCTGGGCAGTATTTAAGTTCTGGTGCTGGCACAGCCCATGCAGCATCCAGAAAACCTGCCAGAGGCTGAAGGTGTCCAAAAAGCAATGGACCGCCCTCCAAATAAATGTTTTGGAACTTCAAATGACCCTCAAAGGTCCAAAGCCTTTATACTAACTCAAGCCTCTGAATTTGTTTCAGGTTAAAATAAGATCGAATGAAAACTTAGATGAAACGTGAAAAATAGGATGTGGCTTTTGTTTAAATACTAGAGGCCCGGTGCATGGATTCATGCACCGGTGAGGTCCTTCTGCCTGGCCTATGGGGATTGGGCCGAAACCGGCTCTCTGACATCCCCCGAGGGGTCCCAGATCGCAAGAAGGTGGTTCTCGGGTGATGCACCCTGGAATCAGGCTTCCTCCTCTCTGGTTCCGGGTGCATCACCCAAGAACCGCAGCTACCAAGTCCCCACAGCTTGGCAGCTCCTGCGTTGAGCATCTGTCCCCTGGTGGTATGTGTCATAGCTACCAGTCAGACAGTCAATCGGTCAGCCGGTTGGCTGGTCACTTAGGCTTTTGTATATATAGATAAGTTGCAACCTGAAGAAAATGCCAAAACTAAAATGTTCCTGGTACCAGCACGAGCAGCCACTGTGCTCTCAGAGTGTATGGCTGCACAGACCTGCATTATCGGGGAATGCCAACTAGAAGGCTGGAGAGCACCGAGAACCGTGGTGAGAAATACCTTCATCCATGTCTCTGGAAAACCTGTTGAGAATTCTCCCCGTGGGGGTGGTGTCAAAAAACTTCATAGGGCTTCGAAGGATCCTT